ACATTCGAGGTTATTGTAGTAAAAACTAAAACCAGATGTGAAAAACATTTTAATTACCTAAAATAAAAATTAGACTTCAAACTAACTGAAACAATTGTGTGAAATGAAAAAAATTTAAAACTAATAAAAACGTGTGTGTGGTGCTGTCTTTACACAACTGAACACAGACGTCCAAAGAGCTGAGACTCACATTGTATTTCAGCCACAGCTGGACAGACCATTAACACCAGCGTGACCATCAACATCAGCATGTGTGTGAGGATGGAAGCCTTACACCACCGCCGACACCGCTTAGAAACATCAACGACCATTTTTTTAACTTCCTGTATAACCAAAGTTAAAAAAGGTCGTTCAGGTTTAGGTTTCTGAACAGTGTTTACATAAAATCTGCATAAGAACACATAGTTCCGTTAATTGAAATTGCTCACATGCATTTTAACGAGCACTAATTAAAAGAGTCTGCACTCAGAAATATGCCAGCACGTGATGAGATTCTGAAACTGATTCTGTCTGCAGCTGAAAGCAGACGGTTTAATTGAGAAATCTCCCTTTCATTCACGATGCATAGAGCGCGTTACGTAACCGTTCTCGTGCCTGTAGAAGCGCACTCACGTCTGCTCTCAGCGCTTGGTTCGCACGCTGAGGCCGATATAAGCTACAGGATCCTGTGACTCGGTGCCAGCTCGTCCTCTGTGACACTTAACGAGCTGCTGCTTCTTCCTCTTGTCTCTGTCTTCAGCGGGAAGCAATAATGGAAAACCGTCTCTCTCTCCTCTCCTCTCCTTCACTGCATGGTTATTAAATGAACCGCTGTGGTGGAAAAGAAGGAGAAGGAGGAGGTTTTCAGTGGGTATTAGCTTCTCCTTCTCAGATTTTTGTGTCACGTGCTCTGAGGGACGTCAAGAAGAAAAGACAAATTGCGATATCCTCCCCTCACCACCCTCCCACCACGGAACGAGAGGACTTTGAAGGAGGGATTGTGAACAAAGCCGGGATGCTGAGGAAACGTGTCAGAGGACTCGAGTTAGGCCTGAAAAGCCATTCTGAGAGAAATCACGGTGATAATGTAATACCAGCCGCTTTATGGATAAACCCTGTGATGCACTCAGAGCCTGCGCTCACCTCGTATCACGCGGGTGCAGTCGGGCAGGGATGATAGTTTACCAGGAGCCCACTTGTCTTACAAGCAAGTTTTGCTACACTAAAATATGCAGATTTTAACAAAATGCACAATATTGAAATATGGATACAGAAAAAATGAACGCGCTGCATAATTTATATCAGTGCTTGAATTAATCTTACACGTGACAAAATGCACAGACATTGTTACAGACATTTTCATTCAGTGTATTTAATTACATACTCAGTAGGTTTTATATTAAAGTGTACACACATTACATAAAATATTACCCAGTAGCTTTCTCTGAATCATATGTGTGTGTGTGTGTGTGTGATATTTCATCATATATTCCTCCAAAATCCTCTTCTCTACACAGATACAGGCTGGAAAACATATTTCGATCATTCAGGCACGTTAATTTATCTTTGGTTTGATGAAGTAAAGCATGAAACTATTAACATTAGAAAAATAGAAACGCTCCCTTTCAGAAGACAGACTGCAGCAAAACAATATTTTAAACTTGTGGAAATGAGAGAAGCCTGAAAGCCGATGGCTCTGATCTTCTTCTTCTCGCATTTTAAAGTTTGCATTTAACATCGAGGGTGTAAATCTGAAGCATACCAAACACACAAGCTGTATATTTACATGGTTGGAGAGCTCTGGGTACCGTGCAGAAGACAGATGACAGATGCAGAACAAACAGAAACACAGCAGAGTCGGTGAGTGTTAGACGTGACTGTAACCAGCATTAATCTTCCACAGTTCCCACGGGTCTACTTCGAGCATCCCTTATCTATCACATCTGAAGTAAATGAACCCCAAATGCTGGCAGGTTAAATGTCTTCCTCTCCTCCTCCACCTGCAGAATGCGGTGATTTCTCTTTAGCTACAGTGGAACAAACTCATTTCTCGTGCAGCCACTTTCTTTTGCCACAGTGGAAACCAACTAGGTTCATTTAATATCTCCGTTTCTCAGTTGCTCTTTCTGCTTCGCCCTCGTTTCCTCACACGGCCGCGTCACTAATCTGTCGTTTGCGTAAATATGATGCTGTACACGTCACATGACCATCCATCGCCTGTGCCAGGCTCTGATGATCTTTTACCTTTTAACCATACGTCGTCAACCCGGTGCCTTAACCGCATCTGTCTGTGCGTATGCCTCCGGCACTCCTCACACTGTGACAGAGAGCGTAATTGGCCTTCAAAATAATCCAGACCCCTTCCTTCATTTCCAGCTAGCCGCCAGCAGTTAGAATTAGACATCGAGTTTAACCAGGGACATTAAAGGCAGACCGTGTGTGTGTAAGAGAGACCTTTGACTCATTAAAAATCAAATACATTTTTTTCTAAGATCTCTAATGGGAAATGGATTAAAAATAATCGGATTACAGTAATCTGTTTACAAAAATGTGTTTGAAATATGTAGGCAGTTATTAGTGTAATTATCTCACAGACAAAGAACTGATCATACTGTGTCTCCAGACTTAAATCCAATACAAGGAAAATGCTTCATTTGAGGATCATCCTGCTCCTACTGGAGCTGTGAAGTTCTTTGAGCCTGATGAATGGAAACATGCAGACTGAGCTGATACTGTGATAAAGCATGATATCAGAGCTGATGAGGCCTCTGTGATTGGTTCTACTGGGAGGATTTTTATTGGTGTAGTACACCAGCGAGCGTGATGTGCTAAAAATGTTTATAAGGAAGGTCAGAGGGGAGAACGCTCAAAGGAGTGATTTTTTTAAAACCAGGTGTCTGCAGTGGAGATGTGTATGTGAAGACTTTAGTTCAATCACCGTTTAACAGAGAAGGTTCCCCAAAACTGTTTCAATGAGGCCAAATTATTAGAGGCGGCCTGAAGAATCACAGACCTGCAGGTTCAAGCTGAAACTGGACACAAAACCTTTCGTCTTATTAATCCTCATGTTTTTAATAAATGTCTTATTTAGGTATTTCTGTGGTGTTTTGTTGAATCTGTGTTTCAGTATTTAGTTTTATTCCTTGCACCAGCCATTATCACGCCACCTGCTCTTTCATCGCTCATGCAATAATCTGACTGACTAACTAAGGCTTTATTATAGTGTCAACCTTTAGCATATTAAACGTTAGTTTCATAATTTGAAAACTGACTTTTTATTCTACATTCATTGATGCAGCTTGACTTGGTTTTCAGAGTTCAGCCAGATTATAATGAGTGAAAGGAAAGAGAAAAGAGAAAAAACACGAACTCTGAAGCCATTTAGCCATTTAAATCAGCTGTGTTGGATCAAGGACACATCTGAAACCTGCAGGACACCTGCCCTCGAGGTCTGGAGTTCGACACCTGTGCTTTAGAGGAAGCTGGGGTTGGTTCAGTGTGATTGGAACAGAGGAGAGCTGAACTGCTGGGTCGGTCTCCGTGCTTCTTACTGCATTTGTGTTTGTAGAATCCAGTGAGACAAAGAATCGTGGAGCCGTGCACGGGGCTGCTGACTCTCACCTCGACTAACTCATCAATCTTGAACGCAGCGTCTCGTCTCTGAGAGGAGAGAGGGCAGACTGTCTTGGTTGTTATGATTCCCTTTGAAAGGACACTGTGGGTTTATTGACACCACTCGAGTGGGCTTTTCAAGGCTCGGGGGGATGTGTAATTGGTTTTCTCGTTTGTAGTTTTCTCGAGTTGTAATGAGACGTTTGCGCATTTCCTCGTCTCAGCGGCTCTCGGACAAACTTCCTGCTGTTGTCAGGCAGTAGGACGCTGTCAGAACATTTAAGTCTGGAAAAGCAAGTTGTTTATTCAGCCAGTGTTTGAAGCCAACTTTCCCCCAGCAGAAGGTTTCTTTCACTTTGTTTACTTCCTGCAGTCTGCCATCAACTCGCTTCAGCTTTAATCTTCTCTGCTGCTTTAATATCCGGCAACACGCAGACTGATACACGCAAACACATCCACTCAGCTTACATCGATTCAGAACACAAGAAGAATCTTACGCTGTAAACTAACCCCGACAAAGTGCAGCAATTATCAACAGCGAGGAGAATGTAAAGCAGGAGGCTGCAGACACCAACCAGGCCTGAGTAACACTGATTACCTCTCCATCATGGCACCTGTTAGTGGGCGGGAGATATCAAGTGGTCATCAGAGTTGATGTTGGAAGCTGGAAATATGTGTGAGCGTGAGTATTTGGCTCAGGGCTCACTGATGATGCACTTGGGAAACGAAGGCTGGTCCGTGTGGTCCGATCCAACAGAGTGGTTGCTGTAGTTCACTCTGCAGGAAATGTTCATGCTGGTTCTGATAGAAAGGAGTCAGGATACACAGAGCATCACAGTTTGTTGTGCATGGAGCTGCAGATCAATCAGGGTGTCCATGCTGACCCCTGACTCTGATAGCAATGCGGTTATTAAGTGATGACATATGAACACTGCTTCCGGGTCCAAACTACTCTGGGTTTTTAAGGTTGTGGTGTTTTTAACATGTTTTAATGATTTGTATCTTGTGCTGTTTAATTTCAACAAACCCCATAAAAAAAGTCAGTGATCACTGTCAGCCTCGCTCGGTTTTTATCATGTTTTCATGCCTAAGTTTAATTAATTTCCTCAGAAATTCAACATGTCCTCAGTGAAAATCAATGAAAGCTCTTTTAGAAGTGGAACAACATCTAAAGGCTCATCAGAAATTATTACCCACAATGCACACATTCACTCTTTACAGCTTCTATACCGACTCAAATTCAAGCTGCTTGCAGTGTTGATGCAGTGTTGAATCCATGTTGAGCTCTGCAGTCAACTCTCACGAGCAGGTTTTCCACGTTCTGTGATGACAAACACGTCTCCACGTCTTCTGTCTGCATAAATATTATGAACTCTAACTTCTCGTGTCTCTCTGCTCCCTCTCTCCAGGTCCGCCTGTCAACGTAACCTGCAACATTTTCATCAACAGCTTCGGGTCCATCGCCGAAACAACAATGGTGAGCTGATTTATTCTCCATATCACACCTCGGTGTAAAGACTTTCACATCATTTATTTGTCACTTTTGTCTGTGTGGATTCGGACGGTCGGACAACTAATAGAAACTGTCACGTCTCCTCGCGGCTGTGTTTCCGCTCGGGTAACTCCGCCCTGAAAAATTCAATTAATTTAAACGAAAGCTTCACCGATATTCAGCACATCCAAAAGTTTCACTTTTATTTCCCTTTAAAAATTAAAAGCGTTCTGCCCTGTGAGCATTTCGAAATTTCTCTGCCTCATTGACCCCGTCTCCCATTTGCTACACTTCATTTGTTAGAGCGCATCACTGCCGCGACCATTTGCATAACAACGTAGCGGCCCCGTGCCTGTTTGTACGCAGTGGAGTGGAAATTTACGCTCAATCATTACACAGAAAACCCATTAGTGCTAATATAACTGAACCAGCAACCTTCACAGAGCAACAAGGCTCAGAGCCGATATGACACCAACCAACCTCTGTGTGTCTTCGTATGTGTGTGACAACAGAGGCTATTTCAGCATCCGCTGCCTCTGTAAGTGTTTGTAAAAACGAGGCACGCTCGTGCCGCTAACCTTCAAAACATACATGAATCACTTCTTCATCCAATGAGAGCTCTGAACTTGTCAGCTGTGTGAACCTTCTGCAGGGCCTCGGGCACATTCGCAGATTAAACATCGTTCAGCGTGCACACATGTAATGTGGTGTTGTGTTTTTTTACTTTGAGGAATTTTGCATCTAGTAGTAAAAGGCTGTTTTGATCAGCGTGACCAAGCACCCCAGAAAAGTCCTTATTTTCCTCCCTGTTTGCTTTTGCCCGAGCAGCTTTAGAATTTAACAAACACACAAACACTCCTGTGAAACAGCCCACAGCTCCCTGTCTCTGGCAGGTAGTACTGTTTGAAAAACTGGTTTTCAAGGCCCTAAAAGTTGAAGGTCAAAGGAAGGTTTTATGTTCTGCCATCCTGTTAGCAAAGAAAACATTGTAAAAACACCAAAACAAAAGTGCATTTTTCCTGCGAGTCAGATCCAAAGTCTTTCAGTTTACCTGTGTGCCAGCGAGCCCATTAAGTTGACTCAGTCTGACACGGTGTACACGTTCCTGCTGCTGCAGGAAATACTGACAGTAGTGTTCAACAGCGTGCCGTTTCCCACTGTTTAACTACTGTTCCAAACAGAAACACAGTGTCCTGCTGCTAGGGGAAATTGCGTAGCCCATTTTGAAAAAATATATGACATTTATCTCATCCGAGTGAAAGAGCTCGGGTAATAGAGAGAGTCCAGAAAGTTGTGAAAGACAAAAACTGTATTGTTTCTGGCATTTAGCTTTAATTCAAAGTGAGGCCACAGTGTCAGCAAAACTCAAAGAGACAGCACCAAGGAATCCCAGTGAGATGCATCCGTTGACCATTCATGACATCACCTCACTCCCAAACCACAGGAAGTAACCCAGGATTTTCCTTGATCTCAGATTTGGAGGCCTCAGATCTGGTCTTGCGGTTGCTACTTCACAGCAAACCACACACGGATCGTTACCAATGAGTATACACCATATGGACAAAAGTACTGGGCTACACCACTTCATCTATGAATTCAAATCAAGTGCCTGGCCATGCAGTCTGCCTCTACCAACATCTGTGACACAGTGAGAGGAGTTCACTGAGCACAAGACAAGACAAGAAATGTGTGTCCTGTTAGATATTCCACTATCAGCTGTATGTGGAAGCATTTAGTAACCACAGCAGCTCAGAGCGGGCTCGCAGCTGAGGCTAGTAGTGCAAAGACGCTGCAGAGCTCCAAACCTCCTGTGGCATTACCATCAGCACAGACAAAAGGGGGGGGGGGGGGGGGGGGCAGGAGCTTCGTGGCTGAGGGGCTCCTGTAGGTGTAATGTGAAGGTGGCCAGTGCCTCATATTACATTATTACTTTAAAAATAAACATAAGACCAGGAAAAAAGAGGGAAACACGTGGGAGAATAGAAATGATAAAAGAATAATGTGTTTGGAAGAAGAAAGGATGGAGGAAGGAGAGAAGAGCAGAGAAATGGTAGAAAGGAAGGAGGAAGGAGGAAAGAAGGACTGAGGCAGAGCCGAGCAGCAAAGATAGACATCCCACAGTACACACACACACACACACACACACGCACACACACTGGTGGCTTCTACAGATCCTCAACATGCAGGAAAAAAATCCAGATTTTCTCTCTCACAGAAGCTATTCTATTTATCCCCTTTGTATACTTTATTTATATTTGTCTCTGTATTTATATATGTGTGTGTGTGTGTGTGTGTGTGTGTGTGTGTGTGTGTGTGTGTGTATATGTATATATATATATATATATAACAATTCTGTAACTGTAACTTCAGTCGTTGCTGTGCTTTTTTTGGAAGTCGAATTTCCCAGAGGAACCCACCCGAGGGATTAATAAAGTTCTATCTTATCTTATCTTATCTTAAGCAAAATCAATGGAAAAACTGAAGAAAAGAACACTTTGTGGCAGTATTATTCATTAAAATGATGAGCAGAAGAACACAGAGAAACTTTTAATACCTGTTCAGCTGATGTCCCGCACCTCACCTGCTTCAGTAAAGCTCACTGGGTTAAACAGGTGACCTACTGCACAGGCCTGAGCTTGAATCCACCCTCCTCCTCTCTCTCCCACCTTTCTTATCCACTCTCACTTGCCCTGTCATAACAGGGGCTAAAAAGCACAATTAATATTTACATATAAAGTCAGAGTTATGTCATAGAAGTAGACCACACATGGAAATGCTTCACGCTCTAGACACACCATCTATAGACCAACGAGACCAATTTACGGTGGTTTCCAGTGCTCGGATAAAGTTCTGTGAGAAAATGAAAACATGTTGAAGATCCAATGAGAAACAGAGACCTGAATGAGTGTTTTGATGATGATATAGAAACCAAATATAACAGACCATAGAGTCAGTCCACGCACTGCAGACCACAGTCAGAGCTGGTGCTCTAATCTCTCAAATGGTGGATTATAGGAAAAAGCAAAGTACTGATATAATTGGATTTATCAGCTTTTATCAAAGCAGAAAATCCATTTTAAACCTCAGGAGGCGAAACACAGAGCGAGCAGCAGCAAGGACGCTGTTCACTGCAGTGTGTAACCACACTCCATGCTCAGCACACACACACACACACGCACGCACATACACACACACACACGTCTAGCTATGTTTGTGAGAAGTATATTTTGTGTTCCTTACCCAGAAACATCACAAAACCAAAACCAAAAAATGTCTAAACCTCTAAAATGTCCTCGACGGGTCCTCACAAAGACATAAGTGCACACGGGCATGTATCCACCGAGTTGCTGGGGCGGGTCGCTGATAGATGGAGTGAGTAGAATGGCGCAGTGCTCGCTAAAGTCCCACCAGTACACGGCTTTATTCCTGTTTCAGCGCTCTTCCCACTCACTCTCTCTCTCACACACACACACACACACGCACACACACACAAAATCTCTCTTCATTCTTTCACACTTCCTTTGTAGCACACGTGCACTTACAGCGTGTAAAACACACACACTGAAACCTTAAACATCTGATTACTGATTATTGGAATATTAAATCATAACTAAGACATGTATTATATTAAAAAGTGTTGAGCTGCTGTTTCTTTTCTTCTTAACACAGGTCATACATTTTGATATAATTCCGAAGGTGATAAAACAACTTTTTAGCCATGCAGCATGACAAACAGCTGGGTTTATATTTTAATTGCGATATTCTTTCACAGTGAACTCAGCCTGTTAATACCCAGAGTACACGTTTCTAATACCAAAGCATATGACAGAAAATATAAACCATGTGATCATAGTATGAGAGTGAGCTTCAAGCTTTTCTTTCGTATATATGTCAGGTTATCTAAAATGTTATCCTCATGTGCACTAATGAGTTTTATCTCATTAATTTGGACTCGTGTGCATAAATGTGCACTACGTGTGTTTGTGAGTCATCGAAGGAAGAAATCTTACAGTAAAGTAATCTGCCGTGTTTTTGTCTGTGGAGTCAGAATAAAGGAATGAACTTTGTGAAGTTTTGTCAGTGAAAATGCATCAAAAGATTCATTTTGTGCTCATATTTCATACAGCGCTGATCTAAATGTTACCCCGGGACAGAAAACCAGATTCATTTCAGATATATAACCGCTGTCTTCCACTGATGTGCTGCAGCTCTGTGCCCTCCCACTTTTCTTTCTCACATGTCTACAAAATCATCATTTTCCAGTTTTTGATTTGTGACTTCACATTCATGGGAAACTGTAACCATCTCAAGGCAAAAGTTTCTCATCATCAAACAGGTTTCAGGTGGGTGATTTAATTAGAAGTTTAAATTGGACACGCCAAGCTCGAACGGTCCAGGTCTAACGCGTCGGCACCCTCCTCGCCTCTTTCGAGATCCGGGCAGAGGCTTGTTTCCTGGATTTCTCATAAACTGTTCCGACATCTCACAGTGCTGCAGGCGCAGCGTTGGCTTTTTCCCAGGCCGCATGCTGAAGACAGCATGTTTCCCTCTCCACGCGCAAATGTGCCACCATAATGTGCGAGCCTCCGTGACCTCCTACCTCCTCCTGAGCGCCGTCCAAGGAGACGGCAGGATGTTATGACAGGCATGGAAGTAGAATGTGGCTGCCGCTGTAGTTGTTGTTGCTGCAAGAAGAAGAGGAGGAAGAGTATTGCATCCTTTCATGCGTGGTTTACTGCCTGAGTTTAATACATGCTGAAATGAGCAAGGTATTGTGTAAGTACAGCAGTTCCTCTGCTGATGGTTTCATAACAGCACATCGACGGTAGATGGTAATGTCAGGGTAGCACTTAACAGTCCGACGGCCTCATGTCTCGTTCTCAGATAGAAGGATTTAATATGAAGCTGCCTCAGTATAAACGTTTTTAATAAATGAGTCATCTGCTCTCCTAACGCTGAACTATTCCCTGAAATGAATCGTTTGT